TAACTAATGCTAACTAACTAAGACTTAATTAAACAATTAGAACGATTAAATCATAGTTAGATTAAAACTAGAAGAGAGAAAAGCGAGAGAAGAGACGGAGGCGCGCTTCGCCTGCATTAAACCCTCATCACCACCGCCACTGGCATCATCGTCGTCACTTTCACATTCACGTTCACGTTCACGTTCACTCGCTTTCTTTTCTTTTCTTTTTTATTATTATTATTATTTGGAGGGCTTTCTTTTAGGTTGGAATACTTACCTACCCGATGTACAGTACCTACTGAGTAGAGTCTAGCGAGTCGGAGGATGGAGGGTGCGAAATTAACACGAAAAAAAGAAAAAGAAAAAAGAGGAAAGGAAAAAGAGGGGCATGGAATGAAAAAAAATCAATAATCAACCAGAAATTGCAAAAATCAAACCAGCGACGAGATGGTCGCCACCGTCCGCTGCATGACTTGATGGATCGACTGTACATACAGACAGACAGACAGACAGACAGATAGATTGACAGCTGGTAGACGCGTGTCCGGTACGAGACACTCCCTTACTACTAACTACCACTACCTACCAACCTAGTATTACTAGCTACTACTACTACTACTCAGTAGGCACAAGTAGGTATAGGAAGGTATAATACATATAGGTAGTGTAAGTAAACTGTACGGGTATTAATTACATACTTTACTTTACAGTATGTATACAGAATACCTAAAGGTACAGGATACAATCTCGAGATCTCTCTACTAGGTTATTCACTAGGTTAGGCTTTTCTGTCATTCCTTCAACTCCCACATCTCCTACATACAGAGTACATACATCCAGAGTACATCGCCAACGCATCCCGTCATCCAAAGCCCCAAGAACGGAGCACAAAGAAAAGACCGACCAGGATGCGAAACAGACACGGCAGCACCGCAGCACCGCAGCAGTTAAACTGCTAATCGAAACGGTCTAGATTGCGGGGTTTCCCCCTCTCCCATGTCGATGCTGCTTGTCCAGCGGGATCGGTCTGTACACAGAATGTACCTACACTGTACATACATCCATCATGTACTCCGCGGCGTGGGATGGATGCCTAAACCGTCTAGGGACGGGTCGTTGGGAACCCGTCCACGGAGAGGACTTGCTTTTTAGAAATCGGAAACGCAGGGATGGATGGAGAGGACAGTTGCGGAAGACGGAAGTACGATGGACGGCTGGATGGATGGATTGGATGGTGGCATGGCATGGCATATCTAACATGGCTGAATGGAGTGATACGTCCAAATCGAATCACGGCACAGGTACAGTAGCTTACCTATGGGGGTAAGTCCTGGCTAGTTAACTGTCTGACTGTCTACCGTACCTGTATCTGTAACTACTGTCTGTGCATTCTAGTTTCTACGGTAAAGTTGCCTCCTCTAGGTACTCCGTATCAACCATCGAATTCCCTCAATCTAGCCAACCAGTCTCCGAACATGAAAAAAATAAACAAAAAAAAAAAGAATAGAGGATCCTCGTCCCACCCCTCAACCCAAGTGGAGCAATTAATCTCCCCCGGAGGACCACCAGTGACGGAGCGTGGAGTTGATCCCCGAGGGAATGCAATTTGGCCTCGATCGAAGGCACGAAGGATCCGGTGGGGACTGGGGGACGGGGGACGAGGGACGGGCAGGATGATCATGGATCAGATGTCTCGAGACCACAGGGTACAGGGTTGGATTCTGGTTTTTATTTGATTTTGTTTCGTATGGTTTTTGTGATTTCTCCTGGATCGCGGTGGATGGGGAAAAGATCGACCGTCGGTGGGAATGGCCTGGCATGGCATGGCATGGCATTGTGGCCGTGAGAAAAGGGGATGTGTTGGCAGAGCAACCCTTGTGACGGGGATATCGACGGGGATGTGAGCATGCCAGGATGCGAGGGGAAAAGACGGGATGGGGATGACATCGCTTGCGTAGTTACCAGTGATAATAGGATTAATATAATTGATATTAATTAGTCTTCTGATGTGTCTTGATCTTATGTACGGAGTATATCGCTAGACATATCGACCTGTCCCTGACGGCGGACCACGGGCGCACCAGAAGTCAACAGTCAAGCTTGGGCCAGACCGAGGTCGATGCTTCCACGTCTCAGAAGTTTAAATTCAATTTCATGTCATCGCGACCCGTGGATTCTCCTCGACGATTAAGTTTTATGTCCGGCTGGACGTCCCGTCTGAGTGACAGGGCAGATTCCACGGAGATTCCTGTTTATGAGGTACCTTAGCTATCCCCATCTGCATATACAGCCCCGGTACATCGATTGTATTCCGATTGTACTCGCGACTACTGCCCAAGATAAACCCCAAACCGATCGATCCCTCCGATATGATTCCGATTCTCCCTACGCAAGAAACAGAAACAGAGGGGTTACCCCGTCCTACGTTGCACCCGTTCGGGGCTTTCATCCGAAACTCAAGTGAGCCTGTCTGTCCACGGAGAACACAGTAAGGATGAATTGTGATCTCACATCTGACAGGCAGTAGTCATTATGTATGATGATGTATAGGGTACTATCCCCGTGGGAAGATGACAATGCCTCAAGCTAACAACCAAACGTATGTACAAATGTATGTCCGAGTACATACGTAAGTAAGTACCTCATACATACCAGATACTTCTGCCTTCTGCTAGTGTTACAATCGACACAGCTACCTACCTACATAGTGGTTACTACTGTACACGCAGTCATTTCCACAGTAGATCAATCGCTGCTGTGTCGTACAGTGTGGAGTTCCTCGTATTCGTCGGCACTGTCCGCCCCAAGGAGAAGAGAGTTTTGGCCCGACAGTCCGGCCCCTCGACTAGAGCCTCTAGCCAGTATGGAGTACTCGCAATGGACTATGAACTCTATGAATCCAGAGTCATGGTTTCACGTCCACTCGCAAGAACTCGAATTCTGAAGCGAGGCTCCGACCGAAAGTCAATTTCCAAGATTTGCTGGTCAATCGACGAACCAGGTACCCGGATGGCCTCAGTGATCAATCATGTCGGTAGACGTCGAGGGGGCTTTAACTGATCCGGGTAATTTTAAACGAATGGCGAATGGGACCCGCTTCGCTAAGGGGGTTAGGTTTGGTAGTTTGGTGGTTACTTGTTTGTCGTGGTGGGATATCTACTGTAGTACATACACATGATGCATATACTGTACATACTATGAACTATGGAGTAGAGACTGGATGGTCAGCAAAGCAAACATTCGACGATTGACAAAAATGGTTAACTACATAGAAGTGAGAGGCCAGAGAGAAGTGATATCCTGATACTAATTACTGGACTAGATGAATGTAATTTACTACGGAGTGTCACTGTCATACCACTTTCTATTAAATGTACTCTTGAACATTGATCATGATCGGATCTATAAAAATGTATCCTCTGTAGCTATATACCCATCACCAACTAATCAACCCTCTCTCCCGATCAAACCCTCCCCGTAACTGCTCCTTCGGCTTAACCACCTTCCCCTGCAGCACCGTATACCGGATGACATTCTCACAGTCCTCCGGTCTCACGCGCGCCAACCAGATGCCCTGCGCCGCGCCCTCGTCCTTCGCCTTCTCCTCCCCGGTCTCGGTCTTGGTCTGTTTATACCACTCGAAATCCCGCCGTCGGTACACAATCACGTTGGCGGAATATTTGTGCCCCCCGACGTGACTGATGAAGTAGATACCCACGCCACCCGGTCGCTCGTCATCCAGATCCCGGTACAGCCCTAACGGCCGCAGGTGGCGCTCGAATTCGCGCTTCAGGAGCGGCGCGGACTGTCCGCATCGTGCGTCGCGCGTGCGTTGCGAGCAGAGCAGGATGACGGCTGCGTGCGGCGAAGAGCGCGATTGTAGGGGTGTGGCGGGGATGGACGGGGCTGCTGATACTGTTGTCTCGGACTCGGCGGTCTGGTTCTGCGAGGAGGACTCGTCCGCTACACCGACCAACGGTGTCGTGGTGGTGGGCGCCGGGTTGACGAAATGCGTGATGAGGTCGGAGGCCAGCGCGGGGGTGACGTGGTCGACGACGGTGAAGCTGGGAAGCAGGAGGACCGTGGTGGGTTGCTGGCCGGGCTCGTGGTAGTGGTATTCATCGGGGACGGGGATGTTGGAGGCGGAGAGTTTGAGTTTCTGCGCAGATACCACATGGTTAGCTTTCGCTCTTAGACAATCCAGTTCTGTCTTGAGATCAGATGGAGAAGAAGGTGAAATACCCCGTTCGTAGGCTCGATCCCCCCCTTCTCGATGGCCTCCATCACGCTGCCCGACTCGTCCGCCACGTCTCGCACCCAGTCCGTCTTGCCGGTGGCGACGAGCAAATGCGTCGCCCAGCCGTTCACGTTGCCGTACAACTCATCCTCGTAGTCGACGTCGAACCTGGCCGGGTACCGTACCGTGCAGGAGGAGCAGTCGTGCAGGCAGTCCTCGCCGTCGACCGCGGGGTCGGTCTTGCGGAATAGGGCGTCATGCGACGGCGCTTTCGAGAAGTCCTCGGTGGAGGTGACGGGCGTGGTGTCCTGCGTCTGCTCCCGCTCTGGCGAGGAGTCGGTGGGCGTGGAGGTGAAGAGCGAGGTGCCTTTGCGAAAGAGAGCCTGCATGGTGTGTGGGGGATGAAAAGGACAGAAGAGTCGGGGACAAATCAGGATGGAAGGGCGAATCTTATCAATCGCCGCCAAGAACGGAATGTTTTCCGAACATGTAGCCTTAGTGCCTTGCTTACTTATCCCTTGCCGATTGGCTGCTGCCTCCGGGGTGTTTTATACTCCGTACAGCTCTACGGTTGCAACTACAGAGTAATAATAGGTAGGGAGGAGGGCAGTCTAGGCTCTACCTTCTACAATCACTAGTCAGTAGTCGAACTCTACACCGTTACACCGCAATCTTCGAAGGCGTCGACCTGGAACAAGTCCAATCAGAACTCATCCCACAGGATGACGACAAAGCACACCATCCACATCCAATTTCGTTTTTATTGTATCTATCAGCCTATCTATCGCGACGGCGTGTACGGACGATTGCTCATATTGAAATTGAACGTATACGGCAGATCATTCGGTCCGCGAGGATCAGCCAGGCGGATGACACTGCCTCCCGAGCTCCCCGACGTGGTCGATCGCACCTGTCGAAGCGAGTGCATGGACGGCGTCCGAGGGACGGCCAGCGTGTGCTGCTGCTGTGGCTCCCGGTATCGCGGCCCGCCATTCTGTCTCGGTGGAGTACTGTAAATAGAGCGACCCTCCCAGGTCGACGCGTTCGACGGCCGCGGACTGTAACTGCGACCGCGGGACAGCGCCTCGCTACCGGGAAAGTCCATCGTGTCCGTTTCCCCCTCCTCGTCCGACGGGCCGATGACGGACTCGCTGTCTCCGCGGGAACTTTCGGCTCGGATCCCGCCCAGGGCCTGCGGATCCAAAAATGTCATCCCGCGCAGCAGTTCCGCAAAGACGTGCATCAGCTCTTGGAATTCGGCCTCGTAGAGTTCGCGCGATGAGAAGCGGGCGCGCTCGTAGAGAGCGAGGAAGTCGCTGCCAATTTCTGGCGGCTGGATCATGCCGAACTCGGCCAGGTGCTGGAGATACTCGCGCAATCCCATGGACGCCGGTCGCCGGAGAATTTCGACCACGCGCGTGTCCGGCGGCGAAGGGCCCATTTCGGCGGAGGCATGCTCGAAGGGGAAGTAAGGGTCCGGGGGCGCCAAAGAGACTGCTTTGGCTTCGATTAGGTTGGGGAGTTCCTGAAGGACGGTGCGATAGGGCAGATCGGGCAACTCGGGCGACGACGGCGACGACCAGCCCGGATGTTCGACGTGGTCCCAGGGGGGATGGTCGCGGTCAACCACGAGCATCTGGTAGTCGGCGAACCGGTCCCCGTCGGCGTCGATATCCCGCGGTCGAGCCTGGTAGGCCACGATGGCGCTACGAGCCAGTCCCTCCATCACCAGACGCCGGACGCTTTTGCCGACATCCTCCTTTTCGATGGGAATCCACGCCTTGGGGATTCCGGAGAGAACGGTCCGGTTGGTATAGATGCGTGTCGCGTAGATCAATGCGGCTAGGATAATGGTCACAACGTATCCGCCGGTGATGATGAAGATGTTGGTGAGTCGTGAGGTGACGTAGCACTGATAAATGGCGTCGGCCGGGGTTAAGACGACCAGGCAGAAGAGGATGATCGAGAGGACGGTGAAGACGGTGTGATTGAGGACGCGATACAGATTCCAGGCCATAGTAGCGAGCGCACCATCCTGCGCGTCGCAGCCTGTGCCGGGACCAGCACGAAAGAAAAGGGTTGCGAAAGGTAGGCAAAGCAACTCCGGGAAAGTCTGAAGCTGCGACTCCAACAGGGGAAGTCACCGACCGGGCGCACGTGACCCCCTTGCGGCCCACGGCCCAGGTCCGTCTCCTTTAATTTGCGCTATTCTTACTCTTTTTATTGCATTTACCGGACAATCAACTCAGAACATAACGGCATTATTCACAGGACGGTACATGGCGCCATCCTGCGAGATCTATAGTTCTACGCTCGGAAACATGCTTAGGCTAATCCTCTCTCATCCATCCCCCATCTAATCGTCCTGGACGGCAACCTCGTCTTCCCATTGCTGCTTGGCCATACCACGAGCCCGTTGGATCACGCGCTCGATACCGTCCAGACCCATCTTCAGAACATCCATCTTAGGTCCGTAACTCAGGCGAACAAAGTGGTGGCAGGGACTGTCAAACAGATCTCTTCTCTTGGCCGGGTTCAGATCGAAGAAGATTCCGGGCACCACGATGACCTTCTCGGTGAGGAGGGCGTTGAAGAAGTTCAATCCGTCGGAGATGTTAGCCTCCGCGGGAAGAGGGGGGTCCAAAGAAGTCAGATCCAGCCAAATGTAGAACGTAGCCTGCGGCACGTCCTGCATGCGGAATCCGATCTCATGCAGGCGCTGGAGGACGAAGTCACGCTTCTCACGGAAATGCTGCTGCAGTGCCTTCATCTCGGCGTGGACCAGAGAGGGCTCAAGCATCGGGATGGCGGCTTCCTGGAAGGGAGCGTTGGCACCGCCGTCCAGATAAGACCCGGCGGAGCCCAGGGCATTAACGAATTCCTTGGGTCCAACAATCCAAGCGATACGCCAGCCCGGAAGGCGGAAACGCTTGGTGAGACCGTCAATCAAAAGCACATCTGCCGTTCAGGTTAGCCGGACGGGAAGGGAGAGAGACAGAATCGCAGACGAACCATCTTGGTTAACATCCACCACGTTGGAAGCACCACTGATGGTGGTACCGTCACAGTCGGTGGTGTAGTTGTACCCTCCGTAGAATTCATCCAGAATCAGGGTGGCACGGTCACGGCAGATGTCTTGAATCCGAGCCAGCTCCTCGTGGCAAACAAAGTGACCGGTCGGGTTTCGGGGGTTGGAGGTCAACAGCACCGACGTTCCACGAGCGATTTCCTCGGCGATCTTATCGGGATGGATGTGGTAGTGGTCATCCTGGGCGAGGGGAATGGGGATGGGAGCGATCTGAAAGGTGGCCGTTAGCATTGGGGAGACGGGGATGAAGGTAGGTACATCACAAACTCACGTTCTTGAACAGGGTCAACATCTCCGAGTAAGCCGAGTAGTCGGGGATGGGGAAGGAAAGGTAGGAATTGCCCAGGATGGCGGCAATTCGAATCAAACCCGCACGACCGCCGGGGACGATGCAAACGTTCTCCCAGGTATACTGACTGGCCTTGCCTTGACGATAATGCTCATTGTATAGACGGGCGACAGCTGCACGAAGGGGCTTGATACCGGCCGTGGGACCGTATTCACGGGCAGCGGAGGTGATGGGGATGGAGGTGGGCCGGGGGAAACTGCCCTCGATCTCGTCGTCGGCCTCGGGGGCACCCTGACCTAGGTTGGCCCAGGACGAGGGATCCTCGGCGTAGCCATGCTCCGTCGCACGTTCGGTACACCACACCACACCGGTCGAGGCACGCGAGGCATCGAGACCGGCATGCGGACGGTGACCTTCGTGGGCCGTTCGGAACTGACGATGCGTTTCCGATCGGAGTTCTGGAAGAGGACGTTAGTTTAGCTGCGTCAATGGCGCATGCTTAGTGGCTTGGAAGGGGGGATTTTTTTTTATTTTAGTTTTTAATTTTGGGGGGGGGGCTGCGGAATCAACACGACATCTTGGTTTTGTGCCCAACCCATCGTCTAAGGGTGGAAGTTCCAGAGAGCAAGAAAAGAGGAAAGAAAACAGTTCCAATAGATGGTAGATAGATACATCGACTCAAGAGGAACACTTCGTTTGGAAAAGACAAACAAGAGAATAAAAATGAAACACGGAGTTCAGACGGAGAAAAAGAAGACGACGTACCATTCTCCGACAATTCCTTGCTGGCAGAGAAACGCCGGTTGGAGGGACGCAGAATGCTCACACGGCGTCCAGAGAAGGACATGATGGGCGAGAGACTCAGCGAAGGTGTGAATGAGGAGTGAACAACTCGAGCGAGTGGAAGAGCAAAAGACGGTGTGCCTGGTTGAGCATAAACGGCATCCCAAGGCGGGTGTTAAATGGCAAGAGGGGAAGAAGAAGAAGAGGGAGAGAAAGACGGTAAGGAAAGATAGACAAACTGGCGGCCTGATTCTGACGGACTCCAACTCCAAACCTGCCCCAACTTCGACTGTCCACTTTCCAATGAGAATCCCTCAGGATTGGTTCATCCCCAGGACATGCCAATGACAGCCAGTAGAACTGCCGACCAACACCTCCAGGACGATCAGGGGGCGCGAATAGAGGCAGGGAAAATGCCTCATCGCACCTGTCAGAAGCCTCTCGAGTCTCGACTTACTCTCCGACCAGTGCCCGACCATCCGTAACACTCACCACTAAACAAGACAAGCTCAAGGATAATAAATAATAATAATCGTTCCACTTCCGAGTGGGCCGCCGCTCTCGGATCCCATCCGACGATGCTCTACTCTGTACACTCTACTGAGTACTCGTCTAAGACACCGTCACCCATCGTCCAGTCTAATTTCAATGCAATTTTCTCTCAGTCTCTCCTGAACCCAACTATCCAAACTCCGACCAGGCCAATCCCCAGCCGGGCAAATGCAAAAAAAAGAAAAAAAAAAAAAAAAAACGTATCCAACATTCGCTCACTCCGGGCATCTCAACTCTCGTATCGAACGGGGGGAACAGAATAATCAGATAATAAAAATAGAAACGCAATCGAATCGGCTCGATCAAAAAATAGCGGTATACATACATCATGCAGTCATGGTCCTCGGACGTAGGGGAAAACAGCAGCCTAAACAAGACAAGACAAAAAATGACACTCCAGACGCATCCATCATCGTCGCCGTTCCCCTGGCCATGGCAAGAGAAGATCGGTTGACTATCGGCTCCTAACTCAAGAGAAAAAAAAGGGGTAAAAGGTAATATAGAAAGATGCAAAAGAAAAAAAAAAGAAAACCCTGTACCATCCCAGTTTTTATTTCCCTCTGTTCCGGTTTATTCCCGAGAATATGATCAATGATTCCCCAACAGTCTCAAGCCAATCCAGTTGGAAATGAGTTGTCGAACACCTGGAGACAACGCCAGCGACTTTCCTTGAGAAACCCTTCTCCCTGTCCATCTCTTCATCCTGCGGAGAGAGCGTGACCAAAGGGATGGGAGAAAAAGAAGGATGAAGATGAGAGAAGAAAGAAAAAAAAAAAAAAAGAAAAGAAAAGAAGAGTAATAAAAGAAAAAGGAAATGGAACCGGAAGAACCCGCAGATGGTAATTAGATGACAATAGTGCCCATTCACATTTCAGTTCTCCACGGCTTGACAATATAGTTGGATTTCTCCGACTTGGCCTCGAGAAAGCGCGTCCCGATGCTGCTCGCGCCATTCCATGAATGCGAGCTGCACTGCCTCGTCGCTGTCGATGGTGACGAAATCCCCGTCCTCGTCGCGATAACGCAAACGCACCGACTTATTGCCAATCGACCGGTTGGTGAATCGAGCCAGCTTCGCGTCCACCCGGTCCGTGAGCGAGCGGAACATGATGTTGCTGGCGATCACCAGCGTCACGTAGTTATCGTCAAAGCTCACCTTGGCTTTGAGCTGTGTAGGCATGAGAGGGTCCTCGTCAGGCTCGTGGCTCAAGGGTGATGTCGGTTGATCCGACGTCGACGGGGTGGCTCGAGATTCGGAGTACTGGGGTTCGTTGAACTGAGTCGCGGGCATATGCCGTGAGTCGTGGTGCGACGTGTTGGAAAGATGGTTGGCGTTTCGAATTGGAATGTTACCGTTGGTGGGCGAATTGTTCTGGCTTCGATTGACGGGGGCCTTCATGCTGGCCATGTGTGCCGGAATGGGTGGAACCGGTACATTGTCGACGGTCTGCATCGTATGCGCCCCCATGTATCGGCGCATTTCGGGATTGTGGGCGTGGATGTCGGGACTGCTGGCGGATCGCATGCGCTGGGCCATGCCGTTCGAGGCTTGGCCGGACATGGGTGGCAAGGAGGGCCGTTGCACAGTTCGTCCGTTCGGGGCGTTGTTGAAATATGAATTCGAGCCGTCCCTGGAAACTCCGCGAGACAAGGCGGGTGCCGTGTATCGGTTTGACTCTTCGGTCCAGTTGGCGGATGGTGTCTGTCGTCCGTAGGAGAAACCAGTTGACTGAGAACTTGATCGCGTTGAAGGCGTCTCGGCGACGGGCGAGAAGTAGGAAGGTGCGTTTCGTTCTGCAGGGGACATGCCTCCGCCGGGGAACTGAGTATGCACGGACAGGTTGGGGTCGGGCATTGGGAAGCGTGGCGGACGACCCGAGGAGAGCGGTGGCCCAGAGCTCCCACTTCCTCCTGTGGCAGACCGGGTTCTCAAGCTTGTGCTGGAGGCATTTCGACTCATGGGGAATTCGGAAAAGAAGCCGGCTTCCTTGGTGGCCTCCTGTTCGGCATCGTATTCCTGCTGGTAGGGGTTTGGCATGTTTGCCATGCCCTTCATATATGTAAATTCTGTTTCAGAAGTGCCGGTACTCCGAGCACTGCGATGATCGGCTTGGATCGCCCGCTGGTTATCAATATCCTTGTACCATTTGCGCATGGTATCTTCGTTCTGATAGCGAATGATAAAGTTGTCCACCACGCCAGGGTCGCCCTTCCAGAAAATTTGAATGCGATAAGAGCCTACAAAACGAGGTCAGTCAGCAACAGGAAACCAGCATGGGGAAGGTGTCATGTCCTTTCCATACCCGGCTTTTGAAGGCAAACGATATCGGTCACATTCGCCATGTAAATGCGGCCTTTGAGCTGAAGACGTGGCTTTCCCTTGACCGTAGCGGAAGGCTTGTCTTTGCTCACCATCAGTTTGGTCTTTTGTTTGTTCGGGTTGATATCCTTGCAGCAGAGAAGGATGCGCTCGAAAAGATAGATGTGGTACTAGACTCGAGAATCAGGGAAACACGTCCCATACTAGGTTAGCGATTGTTTTCTTTTAGAAGATCATGCGGTGATTCTGTTTGGGCCGTGAGCACGAGGAAATATTCGATCCCCCCCTGTGTGGGTATGTAAGGTTTGGGGGCAAAGGGCTGTGGGTAGGGTAGCAATGCCAAGTTTGGCGATAGGAAGAGCTTCCATGGAGATCGACGGGGAAAATGCACTCCGTTTGTTTCCTGGAGCCCTTTAACTACAGGAGCCATGAAAAGGGGGGTCCATATCGGCGAGGTTCAACCGCATAAGCAAGCCATGTTGTGCAGGGGAAACGACGTTTGCGGGCCAAAAGTCTTCATAGCAGTGGGTGACTAAAAGGGTACAAACCTCTCTTTCCGAATCCTTGCCGTTGTCGCCTTTTAAGACCGTGAAGGTTCCAAATCGTAGCAGATCGCCGAAGGAATCTATTTTCAGCGATTTCCAGTCGTCGACTCGCTCATCGAGTTCCTTGAATGCCGAGGCGAGGTGTTCTTTGTCAATTGCATCGTTCGCGCAATCGAGGACCGTTTGAATCGCATCGATGGCCCGGGTTATATCGGTTTGAAGGTCTGGGTTTTCTGTCTGTTTGCGGAGTTCCTGTTGGAAGGGTTAATTATGCGCCTTGAGAGAAAGGAATTTGGTATTTAGTGCTGTAGTCCCCATGACGGGGGAGCAGTGCAGAGAAAGGGGAAGAAACTCACGCTAAGCATCAATGGGTATTTGGTGAGTCGCTGGAAAGGCTTGACGAAGAAACCATTCAACGTTGCAGGCTGGGCCACCATCTGTTGCAAATCCAGGGAACGCGGGGCAATCCGAATCTTGTCCCATTCTCTCAGGCAAACTTCGTCGCAACGCATCTGGTTCGAGATAAACGGCTCGTACTGTCGGAAAGCTTCCTCATGCTGGATGAATACCTCTCCCCAATTTTGCTTCTCCTCGGGTAACGCATAGTGCTGTTCGATGCGGATCAAAAATCGCTGGGCGAAATCAAGGAGGTTGTTCAGGTTCAGGAAAATCTGGTGGCTGAGATCACCGGTCAGAGCGCCCGTTTCCTCCAATTCCTTTTTGAGCGCCTGCAAGTTCTGTAGGTGGTGGACATAGTCGCGCTCCGTCTCTAGCAATTCCTTCAGAATGTGTTCTCGCCGAGTCAATTTGACAGTCCCCTTTTCGGGCGCGAGGGTGGTGTCGTCGGCTCGTCGCTTGAGCTGACCCTGCATTTCCAAGATGTCCAAGACCCGGTTGACCATTTTAATGACCTTGATAAAACCAGTCGTACTGTCGCCATAGAGATCGGTGATGAGGAAGCAGTCCTGCTGAGGGAAGGCCAGCTCCTTCAAGGAGGCCTGTAGGAATTTGAAGGTGGCGGCTTTCGGACGTTTGGCCTCGGGGATCTTGGCGGGGTCGACTTCGAGGTACTCCTCGGGGCTGGAGGCATTGTAGATGGTCAGGAGAGGGTATCCATCCCGCAGACAGTTCCATAGCGAGGCCACGGGGTCGGTGTTGGCTTGCGCTTCATCTGCTTCATCCATCTCCCGCAGGTGCGTTTCGAATTCGGGCAGTTCCGTCAGGCGCTTTTTGAGGTTGACGCAGCTCTGGTAAATCGACTCACCGCCGCGGCGGTTGATGATGTTGTCCTCGGCGATGGGACCGCCATTTACAACCACGGTCTCGGCCATTTCGACAGTCCGTCGACTGGGGCTGCGAGACGAACCAACGGCGGGATCTCAGGGGAGGGGCGACAGGAAGGGAGGGGTCTCGGAATCGGAGGGGGGCTCAAATCTGCGCAGCAGATGGAGAGACCGGGAGGGTGGAAAGGACAGACAGGCGTAGTTGTACAAGAAGAAGAATAATGTCGAGCATGGATCACTGAATGCGAGCCGGTGGACCGATGCGGGATGAATGGCGCAAGCGAGCAGCTAAGAAAGGGAGTGGAGATAAAGTGGTACGTTAACTCCCTCCGAACGCTGAGTCAAGTTGGTCTCTGCCGTGTCT